CATTATTGTTTTAAGTGTTCACAGTTTAGCAGCTAAACTTTAGCTGTGGGCACGATTCGCTTGCATAAGTGTTTTTTGTATTTTATGTCATTATTATAAGAACGGACTGGAGCACTATATTATTGTTTTATGTACAGAGGTGTAAAGAGTACCTAAAAACCATACTTGAGTAAAAGTACAGATACCTTACAGTGAAAACTACTCCACTACACGTTACAAGTCACCAATTCCAAAACAACTTGAGTAAAAGTCTAAGAGTATCTGATTTTAACAGTACTTAAATATTTTACTTATACTAAATATAGGCTCAAAGATGCAATTTTTGGGTGAACTATCCCTTTAACTGATTCGTTATCAAGACTGTTTCAGAGCAATACTTGAAAATGACCACTAGGCGTCACCGTAGAGACAGGTGTCGAATTGTTTCGAAGCCTTGGCACATTTGCTTTGACTGTTTCAGTGTTTCACGAAGCCTCGCTCTGCCCACCACTAACCACAGGTAACAAAGAACAGGATGGCGGGCGGGCAAACAAACAACCATAACATTCAACAACTCACAAGGAACTAAAGAAACACTAGGGCTATATATACACACAGGGTTAGACAAGCTTAACAAGATAAGACACACCTGGGAAGACTAAGGGAACCAATGAACAAACGGACTACAAACTGACTACAAACACCGCGGGAGACAGGAAGTGACATAAAAGTCCAGGGCAAGGCACAGAGAGCATGAAACACAAACAAGAAAGAGTTGAAAGAGTTGTCCTCATCTCATATATAAAACACCTGTGATTCACAAATACTAAGCATTGGAAAATGACTCTAATATTAAATGTATATTCTGAGAAAATTACAATGTTTTCTGACCTTAGATGGATTTAAACCTGCTGTAGGGGACTCCAACACAATATTAGTACACTTTATGGCTACATAAAGTTGCTTTGCAATGATTTGTATTGTGAAAAGCGCTGTACAAATAAACTTGAATTGAATTGAACTTTAAAATACCATATGACCTGCTCTTTAAGGATGTGTATTTGTCACAGTGGAGGAGGAAGTGCTCCTCTGTCTCAACTGATCCTGATCTACATTCATTACAGATGCGCTGTTCTTTAGGTAACCACGTGTTTTTATGTCGTCCTGTGTGTCTCTCTCTCTCTCTCTC